TAAAGTTAGAATAAGCACTTTATAAACTCATGAATGAACATATTTTCAAGGCACTTAGCTTTGGCAAATCAACATCCAGAAGCATCTTTGTTCTCAGTACAGCTTTCACAGCGAGGCTTCCTTTCAACTTCTCCAATCCACCTTTCACTTTTAGAAGCTCAAAAATTTGCTTGGAGAACACGTATTGTGTCATCACAAGGTGAGTTATCCGATTTCAGTTTTGTCACATCATAGAAAATTCAATCGAAGTAACGCTATTGTTTCTTGTTCTGTGCGGAAATTTTTACACTGCTATGGGTATCATAATTACTTATAGGGAATTTCAACGGAAGAAAGTTTTGGATATGAAAAAAAACATTATTTAGATGCCAAAAATTCTAAGAATGATTTAATAACAATACCTGTGATGTGGTAATCACTAACTTTATGTTAGTTGAATCTTTAATCTGTGATTATTATGCCCCAGTGTGAAATATTTTAAGGAGTTCTACCTTTGTTGCGTATTATACAATTATCTCACATATTACTGATGAGGTTGTGCTATGATCACACCGTAGGTATCCCATAAAGGCATTTTGGTATGCTAGATTGGCATAGCAACACGCCTTCCTTAAATCCTGTTTGGTCCAAACATGCCATGGGTTGATGTTTTAAAGAATGAGTATTTGCCAATGATTGGAAATTTCTAGTCTGATCTTTTCTGGTAAAAAGAGGACAAATGTCAAGGCACGAACTTTTAATGCCAGTTTTCCTCAATATTTTTCCCTGGCAGGATGGTATCCCGGTTTATTTTCTGTGGGGGGTAAATATCTATATATTAGTGCTCATGTTGTTTTCATTTTCAAGAACTTCAAATCAAAAAGTAATGGTCTTTAATGCATAACACAGTTTGACATGGAAACCAGTTAGTAGAATATAGGTAGCTAGTTTAAAATCTGAATTGGACATTCTTGAATATATGACCAAAAATTCTTTCATAACAAGATATTCTTTGTGAGACCAGAAAATTTTCGAAGGAAAGCCAATTGTACCTCCCTCGTACCAACATACGCAGAAGATAGAGATCCAAGATGACCTACATATATTCCACTTTCCTACTTTCCTCTAATGTCATGGTCGACATTTTGAGTATCTAACCTTTGGCCTATTATTCTACCATCAATAAAAATATCGAGGGGTCAGTTGACATCAACCATAAATGTCTCAGGTTCAAATCCTGTCTTTTTATATTTTTCCTTAAGGTCAACTTTCCTGCAAATCAAATAACATGAATATGGGTTCAGGTTTTGTGTAATAGTGGCATCTAGGTAGTTGGACTGTGACGATATTAGGTCCTAGCAATTCTGCTGGTTCATGTTTAACCTTGAAAGTTAAACTCTCGGGAGAATATGTTGGACAGGGTAACTGCCATATCTTTAGCATTACCAATTAAATTATGGACACTAAAATGGATGAAGATGAAGATCTTTCCAAGTCGTGAACATAGGAGGATCAAACAATGAAACATGAAATCCGTGCTAAAACATGTGTTGGGATGTGCTAATTTGAAATTTATCAACAAGCTTATATCGCTGAATAATGACTTAGATGGTATCCTGAGTCATTTGATTATTATAACCTCTGTGCTTATTGTTGTTCACATTTTGTTCTCATATTTATAGTAATACTTTTTTAGTTATTGTAGTGGATAATAATTTGTTACGGGTTGTCCATTTTACCATTTTTTATCAGATTCAAAGTCTTTCCCCGGTCCATTTATTGTGGTTGAAATTTCAAGGGGAATTGAGGTAGGCATCCATCTCTGCTTTTTTGCAGTAGATATGTACCGAAATTCACTTAGGAATTAATTCTGGTTTTCTCTTTGGTATTTGGTACTCATAGGATGGCTTGTCAATTTCTGTCTCTCCTCTATTAAAAGTACACAATGATACTGATTTCTCTTTGGAGCTGCGTTTTCAAAGGCCTCAGCATGAGGAAACTGACTCTGCTACTCTGGTGCTAAAAGCTGGAGATGTGCTTGATGATTCCATGGCAGCATTTGGTGCCACTGATTTGTCTGGTGGATTGAGAAAGGCATTGACATCTTTGAGTGTTGGTATGCCTTATATTTCAATTACAAATTGTTCAGTTGGGTACTTTGTTATAAATTTTCAATTAGATAAATATTTGATGCTCTGGTACGTGAAAGCTACATAGAGACTTTTGCATATCATTAAGTGTTCTTTCAAGTGTAGCTAGCGGTGTGAAGAGGGACTGGCCAGCACAGTAGGGGCTTGTCCCAGGCCCTGGCATGCTCTGCCCACGGGCAGTGTGTTTATATAAATGAAGTGGGCCCAGAAGTTTGAGCATGTTTCAAACACCAAGGCACTGCCAAATATCAAATTCACTGCCTTGAGCCCCAAATCTGAACGAAATACAAATGTATTGGACCCTTGAGAGAGCAAAAAATACAAAAATGTAGATAACTCTTTCGTACTAGATTTTTTTTTTTTTGATAGGTAAGTCTTTCCTACTAGATTCATCATCTCCCAGTGCTCTCACCATCTTTCCAAGATTCATAAACGGAAGAGAGGTCTTTCTGTCCACCTTCACCCCAAGATTATGAGCCTCTTGACTTCATGTTGTCCTTAGGAAGAGAAATTTGCTTGAAAGCTAAAGGAACTTTCATGAAAGCTAAAGGTATTCTGGTAATTAGAGGAAAAGTATTAGGAACAAAACTTAGTTTATTGTTCTAGTTGCATGCATCTAGATATTTCCCGTTGGTTGGTTGAATTTTAGATTCTGGCACGCGTGATGGATAAATTGTTGGAACTCACTTGTTGAATCTAAGATTGTATAGACTAATTCCTCTTACATTTCTTATATAACTGCTTAACGATACGGCAAAAAGAAATTCAAATATTGTATCAGGTGGAAGTCTAATCATAGTAATAATAATAATCGAATTGTTTGTCCTCCAAAGGTATCCATGTAGTTCCATTAAGCAAGGGAGATTTTGTTTGTGTCAATTTTTAGTTTCTCCCCCAGTAGACACTAAATTCATTGTTTCAGGCATTCAAGTAAACTTTGTTTGTCTTGCCTAGTTATGATTTTACCCAGAAATTAACTGTTTTAAGAATTTATTGGCAGGAAATTTCGTATTCTCTTTTAGACCTGATATTGCCACTAGCATGAAAAATTTTAAGAATGAAACAGTGGAATGGTCAGATGAACTTAAGGGTGGAAAACCTGTAAGTCTATCTGGGATATTTGATAAATTGAGTTACCGGGTGAGGAAGGCATTTTCTGTGGAGTCGGAGAAATCTTCCCTGAGCACTGCACATTGTGCTCTCAAATCCGAAGGAGGTCATATTTCTGAGATACATTTTCTTATACAAAGCATCAGGAAGGATGTACCTGTTATGCATCTAGATAACTTTGGATATGCTTCTGCAAATAAAAATCTTCCAGTTGCCCTGCAAGAACAGAAGGAAATTTTTCTTCTTCCTACCATTAAGGTCTTCAATTTATTATACACCGAAATACATGTGAATTTGACTGATGGAGGTAAGCAAAACATGATTTGAATTTTATTTTCTTTCTTGTAATATGTTATTGCTTTTGACTCTTGTTTCCTTTCAGATCCACTTGCTACCATGGACCATGGCGACTTGTGGAGTTGCTCAACTGTTCCTGGTGGATCAACTGTTAACTTATATGCTAACCCGGCCACTATATACTTCACTGTCACTTTAACATCCTTTGGTTCAAGTTGCAAACCAGTCAATAGTAAAGACTGGGCGAGGAAATTACAGAAGCAAAAAAGTGATGTCTACCATTTGGACATTGAGTTGGACTTTGGTGGTGGGAAGTATTTTGCTATTTTGAGATTGTCTCGTGGGCATAGAGGCGTATTAGAGGTATTTACCCTTTACCCAATTTTTTTACAGTTCTAAATTTGATATGAAAAAAATCTTGTACTTGTTACAGGCTGCTATCTTTACTACATATGCAGTGGAAAATGGCACAGATACACCTTTGTTTTGCTTTTCTGCTAATCAGAAGCTTCTGGTTAGGTAATCAATGAATTCCCACTATTTGTTCGATACCCTTTGCGTTTTGGACGTCTCTCCTTTCAAAAACATTATACTTTTGCAGGTATGAAGAAGAGATGGCCTCCAATATACCTCCCGAACTGGGGTCGTATTTGCCCCCAAAATCAATCAAATCATGGTTCATGAAGTGAGTGCATTGCTTCTTAAGCAAGTGCTCTATATTTTAGTAAGGGTATCCTGTTTGGAGATAGAGCATGTTTGGCAAAGCTTAAAAAACGTACGAGTTTACATAAAATCAAGTGTTTTTAGTCCTAGGCTGGGCTTTTCTTTTAAATTTTTCGTTTTGAAAGGTACAACTTTATCAGCTTTAGCACAATATTGCTTATGCCTACATTACACTTAAACTACCAAAATTGCCACGAGTGACTTACCATAATGCACGTAGGCATTTCCATTAATTATATATCAGGGGACACTGGAGCCAATTTCAGCATGAACATTGAGTGGGAGTTTGATTACATTGCTAAGAGAGTCCCTTGTACGAGTTCTCCATGATCGAAATGCAAGTGGTAATGGTGACCTAACAGAAACAAAAACATAACTTGTGGCATACAATGAGAGGCAAAAAGAACAAGGGAGTTAAGCATTATATTTCATGTGTCTTTTTGTGTTTTTGTCTGTTGGCGGTCAGGGACAACGCGGAGAACAGACATTATTTCCTAATAGGATTTACCTATAAAAAACTGACCATAAGAATTATTTTTGAGCATATATATTTAGCCCCTTATTGACCTCTTGTTTTAAATGCTAGGCGCCACCAAGTGTGCCTCAAATTGTTAGAAGAGAGAGCATCAGAGGCACAATTGGACTTGGATGCTTTATCTGGACTTACAGAGATTGACCTAGAAGTAGAAGAAAATATTGGGTTGAAAAATATTATGCGGTTGGGGGTGTCTTTAAGGCCATCTGTTTCCAAAGTAGTCTCAACACAGTTGGTGTCATTGAACCCACGATATGTCGTATCAAATGAATCAGAAGAAG